TTTTAAACAGTGGACCAAAAAATGGATAATTGTTACAGGAAGCAACACATATTCACAAGTTGTTTTTGTGAGTTTTTCTGAGTTAAAAAGCATCAAGAAGCAACCTGCTGGTTGTTTTTTTTCTTTTATGAAAAGCGAAAAAGTAATTGAAAAAGGAAATGCAAACGACAACATTCAAGACTGTTTCTTCCTCCCCTCTGTAAGTTCAATTAAGCACTCAAAATACTAAATTACTGAAGCAAAAAGTTCTATAAAAAATCGTCCTAGTGTCGGCTTTTAACTTAACTTTAAGCAAGACAATTTTAAGTTTARCTTTGGCAGTTTTAAGTAGAAAATAAAAGGTTCAGTTTCGATTTCAAATAACAGTAAAAAAAAAACAAGATTACGTCTTTTTTATACTTAAGAAGCGCTTTGACATGAGTTGCTTTTAGCTACTGATATTTCACAAAGGACATRATACAGCTCAAACCGTTTTTGTGGTACTAAAAGCGTGAAAAAGATGAGTTGTAATTGGTRCTTGAAGTACCAGAAGACATGAAGTCTCACCGTCACCCCGCAAGTTATATTTTTAAAAGCCCCTGTATGAACTGTTTTCCGTTGAGAAATTTTCCTTGACAAGAAAAAGAAGCTGTTCAATAGACATTTTCGTGGTTAAAATCTCAAAGCATGAAGCATGTTTACTGCAGTCCTCAAATGAACAAGAGTGTCAAGTAATATCAAAATTATGACTTTTCTCGCCATAACAAATTATTTTTCTTACATTGCAAATGGATAAACAAGCTCAAAAATGACAACGTTTTGGGTTGTTGCTTGATTTTGCCTCGCTTTGGTGCGAATACACAGGCTCTTTGCGCAACTTGTTTTCTAACCGCGAAACAGGTTAATATAGTCGTGTCGTAGATTATTATAAGAGCAATTTAAGCATAACAGGAACCATAGTTCATAGTTGTATATACGGTTTTTAGTTATGATGGTTCGTTAATTGTTTTGTTTTCGTTTTTGTTTTTTTT